CGTCACACCACTCACACCTGGAAACAACAAGATGACATGGAGTCAAGAGAAACACACAGACTGATGAATCCAACATGAGGTCAAAGCTGCAGTAAGTCAGCCTCCTTACATGTTAGAGCAGTGATGAGAGTGCAGAGGGTCCCCAGCATGTTGTCAGTGTGTGCTGAGAATGGCCTTGTAACTTGGAAAGTCAGCTTACTGCTGACAGATCAGAGGCTTTGGAGGATGAGGAGAGGAGGTGCTGGAGGAGCAATTTAATAGCACACTGAAACTGAGAGTGACTGACAGGAGGAGGAGCTTTGCTTCACTCTGCATGCTTTCTCACATTTCTTACTCTCATCTTCTTTCATTTATCCATTATACCCAGTGTAGACGATGATTTACTAAATTCAGTGTCATGATGTCACAAAATACTTCAGTATAGATGAATGTCACTATTTTTTGGTTCCTAATGTATGGAATTCATGCATGAAAGCTTTATCATTGGTGTTTCATTTAGCATTTTTTTCATACATCAACAACAGACATCGATGCATTCATTGCAGGATATAAACTTTGGCTCTGCTCACATGTACTGCAATTCACACACATGAGAAGTAAACTGTCTGACTGACCAAATGGTGATTAAACTATCAGTGTGTTTGCAGTCAGAGACAGTTCCCTCTGATTTTACAGAGAGCTGACACTTGACCTCTTCATTTACATGGAGATATAAATAAGGAGAGGAAGCCTGCAGGTGCATCCTGGGAAGGAAGAGAGGGAGGAGTAGAGAGGTGATGCTTCACTGATGGAGGATGAAAACTCAGTTTCATTTGCTCATGTCATCTGATTTTTCTAACGTCTTAACGACTGTGAGCAACTAAAACAAGGCAAAGTCACATCAATCTGTTGTGTTTTAACTGCAAATCAATTCTTAATTAATGTGTTGCTTTATGAATTTGATCAATTTAAATGTGAATAATAAAGATTAAGAAGGAAAAAATGTCTGTTATCTTGGTGTCCTGCAATATCTGCCATTATCAGTGGGATGGAGCAGCAAAATAAAATGTGGTTAAGCTTACAAAACGTTTAGAACATTAACATACTTATATTCTTCCATCAATACAAATAAGAACTTTTTATCTTTGTGAATGATTGTTGAAAAACGCAGCATTTGCAAAGCTGATACAACACCTCCACCTAACTGTCACAACATTTATTACAAGCATGCAGACACATCTTTTCTCACATGTAAACTTTGATGATGACAATAATAATAA